TTCTTATCTCCTGCTGTATCGCAACATGAGTGCTGCTCGATTAAGGCGGATCACCACAGGCGCGCTTGCCTGCTAATAAACACTGACGTCAACCAGTTTGTTTCTCTAAAAACCACAGGAAATGTTTGTGCTTTTTGGCATGGATATAGGTTAAAACATAAATTATAATATCATATGTTCCGGTATATTTGGTTAAATATTTTTTTACAATTAGAATTAACTGATCATATTAAAAATCTTGATACAAGATTTTATGGTCAGTTTTGAATAAAAAATAAAAAAGTTACCGGAGACTGAAAAGATTTTTAATTCTCTGCTTTTTTCAGTAAACAGAAATAATTATTGTATTAATTTTTTGGACTAGACGGCTTTTGTATAATTTCCTTAGCTTTAAAACAATCAGATTGACTCTTTGTTGACGCTCTCGACCTAGAGTCTTTCTGCTTAATACAAATCTCAATATTTCACAATATACATTACACTGGCTGGGACTGCATCTAACATTTAAGGTGTCAGATACATATGGCGGCGTCTGTAACAATCAAACTCTTAAATGATGGCGCAATTGTCTGAAATATGTATTACGTGAACATAACCCCAGTTTTAGATTTACATTTTTTACAAAAAATATAATGTTAAGTATAATACAATAACCTTGTGCATAGATAGTACGGGTGTGTGACAACAGCAAGCCGTCTTGCAAAGATAATGTTCCAAGGCACGGTTGAATGTGTGATATTTTGAGGCAGACATAAGACATGAGTTCTTCCTAGAATCGGGTATTGGCAAAGAACCGAACAAAGGGGAAGCATGGAAAATCCTCGGAGACTTTAAACCAAGGATAAAGAGACACAGAGAGAAAGTTAGGGAAAGGGAGACTGCTTTACAGTATAGGGGGTAATTAATTTTCGTTTAGCAGCTTCAGTAGGCAAGCCAGACATCTAAGCCGCTTAAGCTGAAACAGTTTAGCGAGAAACCCCTTGGCAGCAGCCAGGCCTCACCTGAGCTCCACTTTATTCCTTATAAAATTGTTTTTTATAAAGACAATTGTATGAAGATGTTGGTTTTCTTAGGTGTTGTAAAGATATCTTATTATAATGACTGGTGTGAGCAAAGGCTTTTTTATGTGAAAGTGTACTGTCTGTACACAGGCAGAGGCACATCGACTCTTTGCTAATTATAAATGAATGATTTTGATGTTTGAAGATTAAGAGGTTTTAGTCGTTGAGAGTTTTTAGCTAAATAGACGATGAATAATTTATATACGTTTAAGCATCATAGAATATGAGGGAAAAAACAGTGGGTGAGGTCGAAGCGAGATTTTAAGAACTCGTTCAGAGGCACAGTTATTTTATTTTTGCAACAAAAAATAAGCTCAGAATTTATTGTAGTCTAATATGAGTCAATGAGTCGTATTTAGAATTAGGGCAGGTTTTCTCAAGATCCTTTTTTTAAGCGATATGTTAAAAAACTTTCACTGATGTGTTTAAAAATTTCCATTAGCCTGTTTGGTGAATAGAAGAAGTAAAATATCATTTTCTCAAACTTTTTTTTAAAAAATCGACGTCTGTGTCACCTTTCAACTTATGAAAATCATCGATAGTCCATCAAAATATCTTATGTGAGTAATCTTGCCATTTGTGACGAAATAGTTTTCGCTACGTTCACTCAAAATATCTTTTTAATGATAAAAAAACATAGATCGGTCTGTATAGTATAATGCCACAGTCCAACATATAAAAAAATATTAATGAGGGAGTTTGTTAACTTTTGGTGTAAGTTTCATCACATTTTACCTCAACTCTTTAAGTGTTATTTATAAAAATTAAGCCATTTTAACCACTTAGATAAAAAAAAACAATGATGAAAATAGGGATCGTTGTTATCGCCTAGAGGCGGCGTTAGATGTGCTACACCCGTGGCGGCAGTCATTGCATTAGATGTGCTACACCCGTGGCGGCAGTCATTGCGTTAGATGTGCTACACCCGTGGCGGCAGTCATTGCATTAGATGTGCTACACCCGTGGCAGCAGTCATTGCATTAGGTGTGCTACACCCGTGGTGGCGGTTATTGCGTTAGATGCGATGGAAAAACACAATCTGCATCTGCGATAAAAAGGATTTAACAAAAGAGTTCGAGACCTTGAGACTGGTCAGAAGCCCCCTCCTGCGCATTTCTTCAATGCAGATGTCTGTGCAAAACACACATACTTGCACATAGCTAAATTAATTCATAATATCTATGTGGACTCAGCCCCTCCCCCCCCCCAAACCACCAAAAAAAAACCTATTCCTTTGAAAAAGCATAATTATACAATGTAGTAAGAAATTATGTGGCACGCCTGAATTTGACCGACTTTCTTGTCCAAATGACTAACGACCCCATTCCTATAGACACCACCAGTCTACGCATATCGATCCAACACCACGGACACTCTGAATGCAATCAGTTTAACAGTTTAACCCCCTGGACCATCCCACTATGCCGTCCCTTCACTCTGGTATCCCTCAGCAAATATCCCACGAGCAGCAGCAATCAAAGCTTCGGGACCCTTTGGACCATGTTTACCTCGCTTTTGCCCTCGTATTATAAGTTGCAAAATTTTATTTTTGACGCGGTGGTTTGTGGTCAGTTAAGAAATCAGTTGCCTCTGGCGGTTTGCTTGACGATGTTAAGGACAATTGGTTTTCTTGCAATCTTTTATCTCTGGAAGAAAAGATGGGAAACAACTGGCTGTTTACGCCCTTTATTTAGAATTTAAGCAAAGCTGAAAGATGGAAATGATTAAAAACCTTTTTTTCTATCACCCTGCTGGCTTCCAGTAGTTGTATCACTGTGAAATCTGCAAATGATATCTCAGAAATATCACTTTTACGCAACACATATATCCCGTGCATTCTTAACTGTCGAATTGGGTGTTTCGATTTCAATTCCTGTCATATACAAACTATTCTATAAGTCCACATAAAATTAACAATAAACAAAAAATGAATGAGATTTCGCACAACCTTTAAATTGTCTCACTGAAGTAATTTACCCATAAGCACCTTCTATGCAATTTCTGTAGTAAAGTATACATTTCAAAGAGAAAAGAACACATCGGAAAACATAAAAGAACATTCTAATTGAAGGCCAAAGTATTTAGCTACCAGAACTATTTAAATTTAGAATGAAGCATCATTACATGATGGGACTGATT